AGTGGTCATGAGGCACGATTCCAGACTATGAGCCGCATACAGCGTCTGTAGCGTTGGCAGACTCGAGATGGCGTCCAGAGACAAAATGCGGTTGTAGCTCAGGTTCCTATCGGAGCGCACCATGAGCGCTACGGCATGCTTGCCGATGCATCAACGCACATCATTCGAACGACGGACGCCGGGCTGGCGCCAACCGACGTGATTTCGTTCATCATGAGATTGCTACGCCGCGGTGTAAGCAGGTCAGTCAATGGCCACAATCGTACATGCTGGTGGCCGTCGCTGGGAGCGACTGCACGACGTCAATGCCAGCGCCTTGCACGACAAAGCGCAGACTGGTATCGACAGTATACGTAGCCTCGACGCTGCCGTTGCCGCCAAGGACACAAGGCGACGTGCTTGCGGGGTTGGGTACCGGACAAGATCCGTAGAGCGTGCTGAAGCCATGGGCGCTGGCCGCGAGCGCGATGAGAAGGAGACGATGCGTCATCAGGTGGCCGCAAAATGATAAATGCATCCAGCCTGTCCGAACCAGGTCGGCTGCGATTGGCTGCTCCAAACGGCAATCTCAACAAGTAGCCAATCCGGCGCGGTCGCCTGCACGGGAAGATCGGCGAAGTCGAGAAACTGGTCCGCGTTGGACACACCACCGATGCCGTCGGACAGACATGCGTCAAAGGACTCGGAGCAGCAGTCGACATGCATCGTATATGGTGTCGATTCATGTACGTCCCGGGATTTTTGAACGGCGCCAACGTTATTGTATTGGCAAATCAAATGATATCGAATTCAATAGTTTCGCGAGGTTGGCCAACATCCATGACGGATGACGAAGAAGCAGCGTAGGTCGGTCGGGAGACCCAGGAATCGCGAAACGTCGCTGGCATGGTCAATTTTAAACTTTGAAACAGCAGATGCCAAATAAGATCGGATATGGGTGTCGTCGTTGTATCATGTAAACGTGTTCCCATGCGGCTGACTCCCACTCGCCGCATACCGCCCATCGCATGGGCAACCCTTAATAGTGCACTGCACGTGAGCTGCGGCATGTAGGCGATGTGGCGGGTGTAGCTATTGCAACAAACTTGGTTGTGAGCGCTTCCGCCAAATCTTTACCATCTACGTATCTTTTTTACCTTGTATGCATTGCTCGTCGAGAGCAAGCCTGGGATCAACAACAACACCTTGTACCGCGTGGGCTTTCCTACTGCTTCTACCCACAGAACTCTCGAGATCCAACAACAAATAATACGTATGCTTCAACGACGATGAACGTATAACACTGAATTGTACGCCCGATCTACACGTGTTTCATTCGATGGCGCCGACTGTGCGAGAACTTGGTAGACAGTGGCGCAAGCGCGTCGCGACCTCGAGCGCCGAGGGGCGGGTCGTCGGCTCCAGCGCCATGCACGACGCCACGATCGCGCAAATCGTCTCGGGCATGTCGTTCGCAACCTCCAAGTCGACAAGAAGCTGTCCGAGCAAGTAGACATCCGAGTGCGTCGTCGACGGTAGTCCGCCGGCCAGGACCTCGGGCGCGGCATTTGGTGCGAGAAGCGTCTTTGGCTCGTCGACGTACGTTGCGTACATGAAGCCGCCAAGGTGAGCGCGCCACTCGCTCGAGACAAAGACGTGGTCGATCGAGATGGCATTGTGCAGAATCGGGGTGGCGAGCGAATGCAAATGCGCCACTGCCGTCGCGACATCGAGGGCCAGCTGCGCCTTCAGTGGCACGACTCCGTTCGACGTTGGTGTCGTCCAGCGAAGGTACTTGACGAGGCTCGCGTCCCGCAAGACATCCGAGAGCGACCCAAGCGCCATGAACTCGGTCACGACCGTCAAATCGAGGAGCGACGATGACGTGGCAAAGCCAAGCAGCGGCACGATATTCGGGTGCGAGAGCCGCGCGAGAAAAGCGATGCCGTGCACGAGGCCGCCGAGACGCATCGTCGTGTCTTGGACGGCGCACGGCGTGAGCATGGTCGCGTGGACCTTGGCACCGTATCGCTCAGCCACATACATGGTGGTGTAGGCCGTCGACGACAATAGCTTGAGCTTCTTGATGTCCTTCATCGCCAATTGCAGTGGCATGAGCCGTGTGTCGTGGAACAAAATCGTCTCGAACGGCTTGGTGTCTATCTCGAGCGAGAGCGAGATGCGGTACTCCATCGGGTCGTCCTCCATGATCGAGTAGGCCGAGCTCAGACACGTGTCCCGCAGATGGTTATTGGCGGCGGGCGGGCCTGGGGAGTCGAGCACACGTTTGGCACACACAAGATAGGCAAAGACACAGAGCCCAATGCAGCTAAAGACCATGATGAGCTGGCCGCACGCAGCTACATGTCGAAAAATGAGATCAAAGTGTTGGAGACAAAAGAGGATGTTGCGTACTCATGAGCAGCGTTGTACGCGGCGTGTCTGTCTCGAGGACGCACACGACACTCGCGCGCAAGAGGTGCAGCGCGCCCGAGCATGCCGTGATGCTAACGTTGCCCAGGGAGAGGTACGGCAGCGCGTTAAGCTGGCGAAACGTCGCCGCGGACAGGTCCAAGGTCGTCAATGCGTTGCCCGAGAGGTCCCTAGTCACGCATGGGCACCCGATGTGAAAACGGCAGAGCGTACAGAGATTGGAGGCTGAGTGGAAACGTCGGGTTGCGAAGCGATGTGATGCGATTGTTGGCCAGACTCCTAGAGGCAAGGATGAGTGGTCGATGGCAGGTGCGGATGCTTACAAGCTCGTGAGGCTCGGCAACGCCAGCGTCAAGTTGCCCACGTCAGCAATGGCGTTATAGCTCAAGTCCCTACAAGGCGACGACGACGTTAGCATTCGACGACTCCAACGCTGGAAAGACCGCACAGTGTCTGGAGGGCGGCGAATCGTGGCAGCGTGTCTGTTGTACGGAGCTTGTTGTGGCTCAGGTTCCTATCGCATTCCAGGTACAATCCATGAGGCTCGACTGCGTCGTAGGAAGAGAGAGACACGTACAAAAGCCGCAAGGCAGGCACGGGGTCGGACGCGAGCAGGGCGATCGCATTCTTCGAGAGGTCCCTAAATCAACGAGCACAATGAGTTCGGGTGATTTACTGTTTTGATGTGGCTTCCGTACAGGACTGTAGCAGTCGGTGGGAAGCTAGCGACGTCGCTGATGCTTGCATTTTGCAGGTTGACGACCCCGTTCACGGCTTCGACTCGGGTTGTCGTGGCATTGCCGCCCTTGGAAACGAGACACGGCCCTGTGATGGAGCTACTGGAGCTGCTCTGGTGGCCTTCACAAGCCCCGTAGAGCGTGTTGGAGGCAACTGCCATCGTGTGTGGATATTGGATTGTGGTCGATTTCGCTGCCGCCACGATGACGATGGGACGCCATCAAGCCACGAGAGAGACGTTTGAGCCAATTAAATGACGTGGGCAAGTGCTTGGAACATGCGACATGCGACCGATTACCTTTGTTCGACCATGAATCATCAAGCGCACGCAGCTAAAAACTATGCAAATATTGTGCTGCCGTGTTCATCACTGCTCTCGTCGTTGTGCTCACCCAATAATCTACTGGCCTTGCCACCGACGACAGCTTTTTGTCGATAGTACGACGCGGGGTCGGATGAGAGCTCTCAACGTGCACTCGCCGGCAACACATATCTTCACTCCATCCAGAGATGCGCCAGACTCGAGTTCACTTGTAGCCGTCGCCAACGACCAGACAGCGCTCTCAACTGCTTCGTTCACTGGCGACAACGCGTCACGTTGCCGATCGTGGTCGACCACACTTGCCACCATCTCGCTGCCACGACAGCGCGCCACGTCATCCAAGCTGCTCTCCTCCCACTTCAATGTCTGCTTCAAGGTGGTCGATACCAGATTCGACTTGGGACTATATAATAGTAAACAGAGTATGACCAACGAGAGCACTCTGGTATAGAGAGAGTTATGTCGTAGTTGCCTCATGTCTTTTCGCGCGAGTTTGGAACGATAGGATTGACTATAAATCGACCAATGAAATCGATGTTGGCGGCAATGCGCAACCTGATTGGCTACATTTAATCCACCTTAGTGGACAATTCCGTCTCGGTTTGCTTTTGCGGATAATTCTCGTCAAAACGAGTGGACCTTCTGCTCCACTAGGGGTACGTCGGTGACGACCACTGGTGCGCAGGCTCAAGAGCGGCAACATGTCAATCGTTGGTCGCCGAACGACAATATTCGTGTGCGTCCATGGCCCCTAGTACGCATTGTCGAAGCCACAGACAGTATTACCATCGTCGTGTTGGCGCATTCCGGACGAGCGTCGGACGTCGCGAGTGGACAGTAGTAGAGTAGGCGAGGAGGCTATGCGTCGTTGTTTTGAAATATAAAAAAGAGAGACGCCGCTCCTAGCCAGCATCATCGACAGCAGCAGAGCAGTCTACGCGAACGCCTGGGCTTCAAACGCCTCGACGCTCATGTAGCTCACATCGACCACGTTGCCGCCAAACTTGCGTCCTGTCAATGCCTACACGCCGCATGAGATCGTCTGCAAAAGAGATGGGTACGGCGTCTACCTTGGTGGCGGCGATCGCAGCATCCACTGTCTCGAAGCGGACAAAGGCCTTGCCGACACCGGGCAACCCGTCCTAATCCATCGCGACATCAGCCAATTGGTTGTAAAAGTCGACGTGTACGCTCGGGCGAGGGATCACAAGCGTCGTGACCTTGCCAAACTTGCTGCACTCTTCTTCAATGTCTTCCTTCAAGTCGCTGTACTCGCCGTCATCGACCAAATCGGCTTCTTGCACCATGTTGCCCTAGATAGCATATCCTCGATACCGTATCAATGTATCAAGAAGAGAGCGTACGAGCGTGATCACCGGCGTCGGCGTCGGGGCCGCAATCGCGTTCGGGTTGTACTCGGGAATCGTGCCCTGGCGCGGCGCACGCTGGCACAACGAGCGCGTTCCCGGCAATGTCG